GAGAGGGAGAGAAAGGGAGGGAGGAAGAGGGAGGAGAGAGAGGGAGAAAGAGGGATGGAGGGGAGAGAGGAAGAAAGAGCGAGAAAGGGAGAGAGGCAGAGAGAGAGGGAGAAAGAGAGGGAGAGAGGGGGAGAAAGGGAGGAAGAGAAAGAGAACGGGAGAGAGAGGCAGAGAGAGGGAGGGAGGAAGAGGTGGAATAGGTCACCTTTTCCCAGTTAATGAGAACAAACAGCAGTTTCCCTCCTGAGCAAAAAGCCAATATTATCAGGGAAAAGGAGAAACTCCCCTGCTGTTTCCTTAGCTGCCTGTCAAAAGCAGCTTGGGTTTTTAATTCCCCCGCTCCTTCCTTCACTTGCCAAGGGTGTAGCAGCCAATTGAGCCAAACTGATGATGAAGAAGAGACCTGCCAGACACTTTCTCTTGACTTCCATCATAAAACATAGAATGATACAGGGCTAAAGGGACCGAGGAGGTCATCTAGCCAACCCCACTGCTCAAGCTGGAGAACGGATTATACCATTCTCTGCGTGTGCAGAGATCTGCTAGAAGGTGAGATCAGCTGAAACAAAAGGGGCGACTCAGGAATAAGGCTGGGAGGTGACTGTCCCTCCCGTAAGGGATAAAAAGTCAGGCCAAGATGAAGAAACCTTTGCAGGAAGCAAAGTCGTTCGATCGGTTCCGAGTCCTCCTTGAAGCTCTGTGTACTTTGGTTGTTTTTTTTTCCTTGTACTTTGGTTGGTTTCTTTTAGAATTAGTTGGATACTTCTGTTTTTGGAAGCATTCCACAGTACTGAAAGGTGTGTGCTTATCTTGGGGAACTGTTTTAAGATTAATTCTGGCTGGGAATGAAAACAATTCCCAGCGTTGCAATAAAATAGGTTTTGCTTTTAAAACAAGTCTGTGATTAATTACGTTTGACGAAGCCTGGGTCGGAACAATACCCAGCTCCCTCAACCATTCATCGTATGTTTTAGCCTCCATCCCCTTAGTCATCTTTGCTGTTCTCTGCGGTCTTTCTAGCGTCTCAACATCTTTTTTGTACGATGGGGACCAGAATTGGATGCATGAATGCAAGCGTGACCTCAACTAATGCAGTATAAAGTGGTACTATATCACTTCACGTGATCTTAAAACTATTCTTCTGTTGGTGCAACGTAGGAATCGGTATGTTTTCTCCTGATAGGTCCTCGTTTGGATAGATGGGACTATCTGAGCTCTTTTGATGTAGATACCGAAATTATTTGGTCGAGGGGGGAGAGAGGCCTGGGTGTGGCAGTGCAAAAAAAGGATGAGATGGGGGGACAGGATTCAGTCTTCAGCCCCCAAGCACAGGGCCTCATCCCTTAGCAACTTTGGAGAGTTAGGATGCCAAAGCTGGGTTGCAGGGCTGCAAAAGATTGAAATTCTGCACGAAGGGAAGAGATCTCCAACCGTGATTGGCAGCAGGAATTCTGAGACTGCTTGTAAAAGGACAGGAAAAAGAAGGTTTCTTAAGAGGTACGGAAACCAGCCATTTGGAAAAGCGTAGCCAAAAATCAGCCTGAACGTTAAGAGTTTTCTCCAGATCGAGTCATTCGATCCAAGCTCTCAACTCCCCAAAAAGAAACGAGAGAGTCATGACAGGAGATTAAAATTCATTTGATCTCTGTTTGGTTACAATAAAATCTCGGGATGCGTCGATTGGTCAGCGTCTAATTATGGATTTGGTATGGATGGTCGGTTTGTTCCCATTTAATCCTTCAAATTCATTGGGGGAACTGGGTTTGTTTTGATTTTCCGAATTGTCTTTTGAAAAAAAAAAATCGCCCGATTGTTTTTCAGGTCCCTGGATGGATTTTAAACTTTCAGTGCGACCCAATTGGAAACGTTTCCTCGAGGGTCAATCAAATCGCCTTTCGGTCAAGTCGCTGGATCCAAGCTGGGATTGAGCAAATCATGTTTAAGCAGTGGCTTAGTTCAAGATTGCAGCCTAGGCAATCTCTTTTAGAGGTCATCTTCAGGGGAGGGACTCAGTCAATTCGGCCTGGTTCGGTCGAACCAGATGTCAAATTGACATCTGGTTCACTGAACCGGTAGTTGAACCGACTAGCTGGCCCTGCCCACCCCTCCCCGGAGTCCCCACACGGCCCATTTTGGACGCAGGTAAGTGCAGGTCCACATGGAGGCTCTGGGAAGGCGAAAAACGCCCCTCCTGAAAGTTCCGGAAATGGGCCTATTTCCGGCTTCCGGGGGGCCTGCAGAGCCCAGGGGGAGGCAGTTTTTGCACTCCCAGAGGCCTGAGGGAAGCCTCCGGACTCTGGGGAAGATGAAAAACGGCTCACCCAGAAGTTCCGATAAGACCACGCCCACCATGGCCACGCCCACCCATCAACCGGGCAGGGAACCAGTTGCTGGGATTTTTGTGGAGGGGGAGTTTCTTCTGTGTGCCCTGTATGATCTCTGATTTACCTGGTGCTTCTGTTTTGCTTAAGGGACGCGGTGGCTCAGACACTGAGCTTGTCGATCATAAAGGTCGGCAGTTCAGCGGTTTGAATCCCCAGCGCCATATCACGGAGTGAGCTCCCGTTCCTTGTCCCAGCTTCTGCCAACCTAGCAGTTCGAAAGCATGTTAAAAAAGTGCAAATAGAAAAATCGGGACTCCTTTGGTGGGAAGGGAACAGCGTTCCGTGCGCCTTCGAAGGCGTTTAGTCCTGCCGGCCACATGACCACGGAGACGTCTTTGGACAGCGCTGGCTCTTCTTCGGCTTTGTAACTGAGATGAGCAGCGCCCCCTAAAGCCGGAAACAACTAGCACAAACCTTTACCTTTAACCTCTGTTTTGCTTGATTATCTCGATCGATGTAAATATAGACGCAAATATATATTTATTTAAACTACCCGTTTGCGTCAGTGTCTCACTCAGACTTCATTTGGGGCCCCTGCTGCGCAATTCCCTGCCGGAGATTTTGGGAGAATTTTTCTTTCAGACTTTCAGATCCTTTAACTCCAGCTTTACAATAAAGCAGAATTAATTTATCCGGTCGTGTTTCTTGTCTGATCTTCCTGGGAACGAGGACACCCTGCTTCCTATTTTTCCCACAGCAGCAGCCCTGTGGGTGGGTTTGGCTGAGGGGAAGGGATTGGCCCTCAAATCACCCAGCGGCTTCCCTGCCACGGGAGGACTCAAACTCAGGGCCTCCTGGTTTCTAGCCCACCACCGAAGAGGATCTCTGAATAAAAAGTAGGTTTTGCTCGCCTGACATGGAAAACCTGAAAAGGTTCTTCTTGTTTCCTTAAAAAAAAAAAATCAAGCTGGCCCAAGAGGAAAACGTCGGGGGAAAAAGATAACCCTGCATTCTTGCATTTAAGAAGACCGAGAACTCCGATTTGGGGAAATGCAATATCAGGCGCTGGGAAGCCCTCCCGTCGTTGCTTTGAAAGAAATTTCCACCAGGGGAATAATGATGTTCCACAAAACATTATAAAAATAACATTTCTGCAAAATAACTGCAGTAGATCTGGCAAGCATCGAACCTGGCCACCTTTTTTTTTTTTTTTGGTCTCTAAAGCTGGGAACTGGAAATAATTCCTTGACATTCTTTAAGCTGCCAGCGCCATCTTGTAGCCGAAAAGGAGTAACAGAATAAGAGAGATGGAAGGGGCCTTCGGAGGTCTTCTAGTTTAGTCGCACCCCGTTATTTTTTTTGTATATTAATTACATACATTAATGTATGTTAATTTTGTATATTCCTGGCTTTTTAAAAATTTATATATTTGGGGTTTTTTGAAAAAATTTGTAAGCCAGAGTCACCGAAGGTGAGTGGGAGGCCATATAAATTCACTATATAATAGAAAAAAAGAAGAAGGTGGAGGAGGAGGAAGAGAAGGAGGACGAGAAGAAGGAGGAGGAAGAAGAAGAGGACGAGAAGGAGGATGAGGTGGTGGAGGAGGAGGAGAAAGAGGAGGATGAAAAGGAGGAAGAAAAGGAGAAGAGGAGAAGAAGAGAAGGAGGAGGAAGAGGAGGAAGAAGAGAAGGAGGGAAAGGAGGAGGAAGAAGAGGACGGGAAGGAGGATGAGGAGGTGGTGGAGGAGGAAGAGGAGGATGAAAAGGGGGAGGAAGAGAAGGAGAAGAAGAGAAGGAGGAGGAGAAGAGGAAGAAGAAGAGGAGGAAGCAAGCAGGAAGGGAGCATGGGGTTTAACAGTCCAGTTTACATCGCAATGCATGCGAAAAAAGAAACAAGGCTCTAATTGCAAAGTTATGGCCGCCATTTTTACCCCCATGGACGCTCCTCCTTCCTTACCAAATGCAAACATGCTATACCCCAGCGTCTTTCTTCCACAAGAAAAGCCGTACCATGAAATCCCCTAGTGCAGGGGTCCCCAACCACTGGACCCCGGACTGGTACCGGTCCGTGGATCATTTTGTACCGGGCCGCCTATTTTGCTTGGGCGCCGCCATCTTGTTTTGACAGCGCTTGAGAAAGTGCTTCCGGGTGAGCTTGTCGGTCGGAAAGCGGCGTTTGGCTGCTGAAGGAATCCTCGCGCCTTAGTTTCATCGAAGTGAGGTGGTGGCTTCGAACGAAGAGCCATCCTGATGGCGGTGGAGTCTCGCGTTACTCAGGAGGAGATTAAGAAAGAGCCCGAAAAGCCCATCAACCGCGAGAAGAAAGGAGGAGTTGAAGGTGGCGGGGAGAAGCGGGGGACGGCTGGCTGGCCGGTCGCTCGGCTCGCCTTGCCTTGGTCGTGCGTGCTGATGCCGGTACCGGTCCGTGGATCATTTTGAACAGTTTGTACCTGTCCGTGGTACAGAAAAGGTTGGGGGCCACTGCCCTAGTGGGAAGAAAGAGCTTATGGCTGGTTTATTGAAATTATTATGAGTTCTAAAGAGAGGGGCAGCGTTTGGGCGGGATTCAGCCTGGAGCGAAGACAGAAGGTCTGGCAGAGTGCGAAGGGGAACTGGTTAGAATACACACGCACACCCACCCACACACATACGCACACCCACACAAGGAACTGGCTTGGAAAGGAGCATTGTTTACTGATTGAGAAGATCGCAGAGAGATCTGGCTCACCCAACCTCGAGTCAGCATCTCCCCCACAACACAAAGCAGCCACACCTGGGTTGCCCGAAAGGCACTTGCTTCAAAAGGGACGCTGGATGAGCTACAATCTCTCTTAAGAGAAAGATTTGCTTATTCTGGAGGGGAAGGAGAGAGAAAAAATGGAGGGATCCGCAGAAGCTGGAACGGTACTTCCTAGCTGAGCCCCACTTCACTGCCGCTGTCTTCCTCGGGCTGAACCAAGTCCTTTTCCACATCCTCTTTCTCCACAAAGTTGAGGATGCGCCGGTTGGCTTGGATTAAGTACTGCTGTTGGCGGAAATAAACCTTCAGTGCTCCCTTGATGGCCACGAAAGCAATGCCACCCTATTGAGAGAGGAGGGAATAAATAGAATAGAAAAATCAAATCTCACCCTTTTACCAGATGGATGGCAGAGGGAACAACGCTGTTCCAGGATCCGGTAATCCTGCTAGAAATACTTCGAATCCTCCTCCCCGAGGCGAGCAACAGAAGCAGGCCGTAAAGTGGGTGTGTGGGGTCTCGAATTATGCTTTGAGCTCTAAGCACATAGCGCTTATAAGCGGCAACCTAAATAAAAGGAGGTGAGCTTCCTATAATCTCAATTGTTCTCACTACTCTCTGTAGAGGCTTTCTATCTGAGGCACTGAATGGGCGCTAGAAGAGAAGGGGAGCGAATTAAATGACAAGATGGTAGACTGGCCTTCTTCATTTGAGGGCTCTCCAAGATGGCGCTCTCCAGCCTTGACAATCCCAGCTGACTAAATTTAAAGCTATCAAATCGGTGTGGCAGACAACTATTCATCTTCCGTCCAGACCGACTTGTTAGCCTGCGTGATAAACATTTTGCCAGGACCGCCCAGCATTCCCTAATAAAGGGATCTTTTGAGTTCATGTCAGAAGGTTTGTTGTGTTTGGGGAGCTGGGTCAGAACAATGTTGTGTATGTGTGTTTATGAGAAAGAGAGAGGGGGGGGGGGGGGGGGGGGGAGAGGGAGAAAGAGGGAGGGAGAGAGAGAGGGAGAGGGAGAAAGAGGGAGAGGGAGAAAGAGAGGAAGGGAGAGAGAAAGGGAGGGAGAGGAAGAGGAGAGAGAGGGGGAGAGAGGGGGAGGGAGAAAGAGGGAGGGAGAGAGAGAGGGAGAGGAGAGGGAGAGGGAGGGAGGAGAGAGGGGGGAGGGAGAAAGAGAGGGAGGGAGAGAGAGAGGGAGAGGAGAGGGAGGGAGAGAGAAAGGGAGGGAGAGGAAGAGGAGAGGGAGAGGGAGGGAGGGAGGAGGGAGAAAGAGCGAGAGGGAAAAAGAGAGGGAGGGAGAGGGAGGGAGAGGAAGAGGAGAGAGAGGGGGGAGAGAGGGGGAGGGAGAAAGAGAGGGAGGGAGAGAGTGAGGGAGAGGAGAGGGAGAGGGAGGGAGGAGAGAGGGGGGAGGGAGAGAGGGAGGGAGAGAGAGAGAGATGCTCAATAGGAAAAGGCAAGAGATTCCTCATTGCCTGCAGTTGGGCTGAACTGGGACCCGTTTCCCCGGAAGGCGGTCCAAACATTTAATGCTGCCTATCCTGGCTTTCTTTCGGTTTGTCTCCTGACTCACCAGGATGGTACGCTGGAGGTTGGAGTTAACTCTCCGAAATGTGACCCGGCCCACGAGACTGGCAATAGTTGGGAACACCAGGGCCCCACACAAGGTGCGCGAGATGGAAAGGTGGTCGCTCTGGTAGCGTGACTCGGCCAGAGGTATCGATGGGATTGGACGGCTGGTTCCTGATGAGAGCAAAAAACAAAACAAAACAAAACAGGAGAATAGATCACTCTCAAGCAAGGGTGTCAAACTCAACTTCACTGAGGACCATATCAGGGTTGTGTTTGACGTTGAGGGTTGGGCACGGGGGGTGGGTGGGCCTGGCCAGCTCAACGTCACTCATGTTGGGAGCATCTGTGGTGGCCAAGTGCTAAGGCAGGACTTCCCTCAGATCCTCCCTCCCTCTCACTATAATCTCCTTCCTTCCTTTCCTTCCTTCCTGTCATGCCCTTGTTGGAGTCTGATTCTGAGGGGGGGATTGAGCAGCTGACTAAGGAGGGGAAGTGTGGTTGTGGAGGAAACGGGGGGTGGGTACAGTCTGGCTGGGCATTCAGAGGAAGATCCGGGCCCACCCCCTCTTCATCCCAGGGCATGCAGGGAGGAACAGATAAGGGAGCAACATGGCTTAGGAGAGAGAAAAAGGCCCTGATCCCTTTCATTAGTTGCAGCTGGGAGGACAGGATATAAGAAGGGTGTTTGCACAACAGCTCCTTTCTGGAAGCAAAGTGTGCGAGGCTTATCTGGGTTTTGATGTCCTCCTAACTGTGATTGCTGCGTTATCCTTTGAAAGTCTGCAATTTATCATCCTGGCCTGCCGTGTTAATTTTCTTCAGTGTGGTTTGTGTTGGGTTTTTTTTTTAAATTCTAATTATCTTTACTTTGGGTTTGGACTACATTTCTGCCCTTCGTAGACTGTTTTTGGAAAAGTTTGGTCTCCAGCTGAGGATAATTGGACATTGGGGCCCAAATTGGAGGCATTAAAGGGAATTTATTCTACTTTTGTGACTGTGCTATTTTCGTGTCACGCCCCTTTGGGTCATCACACTTTTCTTCTTTTTCCTTCCCTCTTCCTTCTCCTTTTCCCTTCCTTCTTTCTTCTTCCTTCCCTTCTTTTTCCTTCCTTTCTCTCTTCCCATCTTCCCTTCTTTCTCTTTCCCTTTCTCCTTTTCCGCCACTTCTTGCATGCTCAAATGCAAAAGGGGAAGCATTTCTCCTTTTGAGTTGTTTTTAGTTTGCTTTGCTAGCCCTTTCCCAGCGAAAATGGAGCTTGGGGGTGCTGTGCATGGCCCCCGCCCCGCCGGCCCTGTTTGTGCTGGCCGAGGGCTGCAGGAGGCTGTTGCGGCAGAAAACGGGAGCCCAGAAAGGCTGCGCACGGCCCTCCCACAAAGCGCAAGGAGTCAAGTTTTGTGAATCCCCCCCCCCACACCATTTGCAGATGCTTCTCAGCTTGCAAAAAAATCATCTCCACAACCCCCCCCTCATCCCTGTCCTTTACCACCTCAAAACAGGAGCCCAGAACTCAAAAGAGGAACCAACCCGGAACCCAAGAATGCAGGATCTGCAGCTTGCTGGAGTATTTCCGCCAGACTCGAAGCACGTAGTCTTCCCAGCGTATCATCTTGCCCAGGACCAGCATGACCGGAATGGTGGGAAGCCCCATGAGCAGGAAAAGGGGGTCGGCTCGCTCCATCACATCCAGGCCTTTCTTATGGCCAACCACCTGTGGAGGTCGAGAGGCAGGTAGGTGGAGGATTAGGAGTTAAAACTAGCCTTGTGGTCCCAAAGGTGCTTTTCCCTAGAGGGAAAAAAAACTGCAGGCTACAGGAACCATTTGCACTACTCAGGTGACCCCGAGGACACAGATTATCCCTCAATGACCCTCAACAAAAAGGATGCAAATGACCAGCTGTCTGGAAGGAATAGAAATCCTTCCATGCCCCCCCTTCCAGCCAGAGTTGAAGCTTCTTGAGGAGAAGTGAAACGTCTTCAAAAAGAAAGAATAAGAAAGTCCAGTTGCCTGCTGAAAAAAAAAAAAGCACTTTGGGGACAAACCATGAGAATCTCTACAGACTTTTGGCCATACAATTTGGAATGAACATCTTTGAATGGTGCGGGAGTCGGAATGGATTCCCAGAGGCAAAAATGCAGGCTACAGGAACCATTTGCACTACTCAGGTGACGTGGAGGACACAGGTCAACCTCCAAGTGGTTTCTGTTGGATTGCTGTTCCTGAGCTGCAGTGCAGCAGGGTGGGTTCAAAAGTTGCTCTACAGCAGTTGCTCTCCATGCTCTCTGGGGAATTCTAGCAGTCGAAGTCCACAAATCTTCAAGTGGCCAAGGTTGGACACCTTGGTCTATAGCCGTGATGGCAAACCTATGGCACTTGTGCCACAGGTGGCACACAGAGCCATTTGTGCTGGCACGGGAGCTGCAGGCAAACTTACCTCACTGCGCATGCGCGCGCCTCACAGCTGATTTTTGGCAGGTTTGAGACCTTTTTTGGCCTCCCAAAGGCTTGAGGAAGGCTTCTGCAGGCTTCCTCAAACTTTGTAGGCCGAGAACTAGCCCTGTTTCATCACTTCCAGTATTTACGGAAAAACAGGAAGTGACGAAACGGGGCTAGATTTTGGCCTACAAAGCTTGTAGAAGCCTGCAGAAGCCTTCCTCAAGCCTTTGGGAAGCCAAGAAAGGCCTCAAACTGGCAAAAAATCCAGCTGTGAGGTGCAGTGCAGGTAAAGGGATAGCGGGGGGTAGGGGGATGGGGAATGCGCACACATGCGTAGGGGACAATGGGGGGGGGGCGTGCACATTGCCTTCTGGGTGCTGGCACGCCAGAGCAAGCGTGCAAGCGCATGCACAATTTTTGGCACAGGAGCCCAAAAAGGTTAACCGCCACTTGTCTATAGCTAATATACAGTTTAAATCTAGCTACCAGTCAAATTCTTTGCCGCCTGTTTTCCTATTCTATAACTTTTTCTTCTATTGTGAAAGAAATCCAGTTCTACCTGGTTTTCACCAGGGTTGCTTCAGGGGCAAAAATGTGTGTGTGTGAATAGGGAAAACAATAGGCATAGCATTATGACTGCAGCCTGCCTCTTTGTCCTGCCCCTGACAGACGCTGAGCCCCTCCTATCCTCTTTTAATGACCCCGTAATTCTTTGCGGGGTGCACTCTGGGCAACACAATGGAGCTGAGTGTTTACTGGCCGGATGCCTTTTCTGTTGCCAATGCAGAGTTTTTATTCAGCAGATTGGGTCCAGAGACAGAAATATCTGCCTCTACCTAGGATCGAACTCGCAGCCTCCTGACTGTGGGGCGAGAGCGCCACCTCTAGGCCACCGCACCATTCTCTCCAAGACACCCCTGTCCAGAAGATTAATCCTGATGGAGAATATCAATTTTTGACCCTGCTGTATCATCAAATGAAGCTCTGGACTTCATCACATTTTGCAGACCAATGTAGTGAAAGCAGCAGTTGTATGCTACCGGTTCAGACCGGTTCGACCGAACTGGTAGTAAAAAAAAAATTGCCTCCCATCAGCTAAGAGGAGTAAAACAAGCCTCCAACTATCCGCTGAGAGGATAAAAGAAGCGACAAGCGCATGGGAGGGTGGCTCCTAGCTTTTCGTTTCTTTATAGCCTTCGCTGATTGGCTCGTTAGGGGTTTGCACATGGATACGCGCTCACCCTCCAAACCGGTAGCGACTAAGGTAGGATCCCACTCCTGCTTGGAAGGGAGGGCGGTCTCCCCTGCTGCCACGTTACATCTTACCTGCATCACAGTCACAGCTCCGTAAGTCACTGCCGACCAGTACAGTGTCCCTACCACAATGCCGGCAGCAGCAAAAGGACTCACTTTGGATAAAATCCGGTCCACTTGCTGCAGGAAATAGACCACGGGTCCTGCAAAGAGACGAGCAGGCATCAAAAGAAGTCCTCGAGGCAGGATACAGGTGTGAGATGAGAAAAAGCCCCAGAAAATGACAATTTAAAAAATGAACCGAAAATTCAGAAAACAGAGGAGAAATCAGAAGGAGCTGAGGAAAGAACAGAGGGGAGAAATCCAAAAAGTGATACAAGCAAGACAAAAGATATGGAAGAGGCAGCAATATTTTTTGGAACAGACAGATTACTCCTTAAGAGTTCAAAATATGAAAAAGAATAAAGAGAAAGATCTCCTAAAAGTGATGGGGGAATTGCGGATGGGTGCTCTAGAGATCCAACAGCGAGGGATCGATGCTCTGGCAGCGGAAATATTTAGATTAAATAAACATGATGAAAGGAGTTACAAGATACCAGAGGAGAAGAAGCATGAAAGATTCACCAGAAAGTTAATAAGAGCTGAAATTCTAAAAAGGAGAAAGAAATGATTGACAGGCATAGAATACTTTTTAATATGGTGGTTATTCTAATAAGTGTTTGAAAAAAGAAGCAGAAATTGGGAAAATTGTATTATCTGTACTGAAATATAGAACATATTATAGTTACTATGTACACACAAATGTTAGTAACTGAAAGATTAAGACTATGTATATTTAAATGATACTAACTTTATTAGAATTACATTGTTCATTAAGTACTTTTGGATGTTAAAGAAAAAATTACAGATAGATAGGTAGGTAGGTAGGTAGATATAGATATATAGATATAGATAGTGATACATACACATATACATACACATACATATATACGTATATGTACATACACATACACACACTCATATATAAAATTATATAATTGTTATTTTATATATATATATCTATATATATAAGCGAAATACCCCTCAAGCATCATCACAAAATCTCCAGAACTGTAAAGCCTACAAACTTGAAATTTGGCATGTATCTTCCTCTTGGCTTCTAGGTGCTCGCTAAGAAAGGATTTTTCAAAATGACCCTCAGAGCATTTAGAGTATTTCCTATATTATTATTATTAACATGCTCTGATGCTAAGGAGTTCTACTCCCCCTCCCCACCTGAAAAGAAATCTCTTCCAAATGCAAAACACAAGCAGAGGAGTTTCAGTTTCAGAGCAGCAAGCAGCTTTAGTCCAGAACAGTTGAGCTAAGCCACGCCCAGGCTCCTTGCTGTCTCCTTGCTCACACAACAAATTCTCTTTCAGTTTCCAAACAGCACTCCTCTCTCACACACACTGACAGGACACTAGCCAGATGAATACCGATGGATGCTGGTAGGCAGAGGCACAATTCCCTCCTTATTTTCCTCCCCAAAAACTAAGCCTGACCACATAGTTTACTTTATAGTGACTATGTGAAGTTACAACAGCACTGAAAAAAAGTTACTTGTAAACCGTACTTCACGCTTAGAACCACTGTGGCATTTTCATGGTCACATGAACAACTTTGAGGCGCTTCTCAGTTTTTTTTCAGTGCGTTGTATTGTCAGTTACTAAATGAATGGCTATTGAATGGGTCATTCAGTCTTGTTGGGCCTGGGTGGGACCAGGGAAGGAAGAAAAATGGAAGGGAAAAAAAATCTGGACCCATCCTAGAAGCATCCATGACAGTCGTTTGAAGCCTCCAATGTGTCCATTCCGTGCAAGCCGCACCGCGCTGGTGGAGAACTCAAAGAGAAGTTTGCAAGCAAGATTGGGTTTTTAGGACTCTTGGAGGAAATCCAGCACCTGAATCCGCTGCAGCCAAATGGCTGCATTTATCCAGCGGTGGTTGGGCCTTTCCTGGCCAGCTCTGTACTCACCTACTTTGGGAAAGACGATGCAGTACTCCGTTCCACACTGGGGACAACTCACACTGCCAATACTGTTGCCCTTTTGCTTCTCATCCAGCCATCGTTGGAGGCAGGCCTGGTGGATCCATTTGGTGGATCCTTTGCAACGACAAGGACAGACCCACTCTGCCGACCGGTCGTCGCCTTCGGTGGCAAAACACACCCAGCAATGCCTGGGAGACAAAAAGGAGAAAGGGAACGTTGAAGGAAGGCAGAGGGATGGTGTTGTGGCCTGTTGGCCGCCGGCTCCTCCAGCAACCGAATCGGAGGAAGAGGAGGGGTGGGAGTCAGGGTCAGCATCGAGGCAAACTAAAAGGTCCGAGGGAGAAGAGGGAATAGAGCTGTCAGAGAGAGAGAGACAGGCAGAGGCAGAGCCTGGGCCACCCGTCAGCCCTTAGATGGAGCGTCAACAGCCCCCAGGTCTGGAGGCGGCTGATGAGGAAAAGGAGGAACAGCTGTGCCCAGTGCCTGACGCATGGATGTGGAGAAGGCAGAGGAGAGGAGAGCAGTGGAAATCTATGGGCCGGTCCTTGGGCCGCTGCTAGTGAAGCCCCATCCAGCTCTGAGGACAAAAGGCAGGGGGCGGAGATGAATAGATGTGGCAGACAGCTGGATGGACTTATAAGCCTGCGGTGAGAAATAAACTTTTTGCCGGCATTCTCAATAAAGGAATCTTTCCGTTAACGACAGAGGGTTTGTTGTGTTTGGGGAAGACATCAGAACAGATGTCTTCCTTTCAGGAACGTGCCACTTTGTGCTTCCAAACCCAAACTTCCCTGGGATAAATAATTGGAGGGAGGCATAGCTAGGAGACGTCCTTCCACCCCCAAAAGATGTACAATAGATCTCAGGGGAAGTAGGAGAGGAACCCAACTGTATGAGATTCTGCCTGGCACCGAAACTATCCTGGAAAAGGCTTGGATGTTTTCTTTTACCCTGTTCTGGTTAACTTTTGGCACCTGATAACTCTCGCTTCCGGGGGTGGGGGGACACCCCTCAATTGCTAAATGCCTTGCAGGGAATTTGACAGCTGCAGCTTGAAGGGTCTTTGTAGAACAGAGTAAACAGAACCCTTGATCAGAATATACTTTTCAGTGATATGCTATACTGCCAAAATGAGGCAGAGACTCAAAAATCGTGGAGTTGGAAGGCATACCAATAGTCTGGTACCATCATCATCATCAGAAGGACGAGCACGGATGATGTGACCAGTTTGGGCAATGAAACGTCTGCAAGAAAACAACCACGTTCAGACAGCACGAAGGACCCTTCATTTCAACCCCGAGCTACAAATAGTCTTCTCCCTTTATTGGAACGTTGTCCAAAGGAGATCAACAGGTTAGCCATGGAGCCGTGCCAAGCCTAAGTGACCAACTGCTCTGAGATCAACTTGCAAAGAGTGGGACCTGCCTCCTTGAATCCGCTTCTGAAGTGAACCCGGTTTCTCTTATTAATGAAATGGTGTGAAGCATTTGAACAAACCCATAATAATAATAACAACAGCAGCAGCAGCAACAATAATAATTTTTGCTGGGTTTGCTGTTATCTCATTTGCTGTGTACGCTGTCATTTTTTATGTATAATAATCAAAATCATCATCATGAGCTCTAAGGCTGCAAAAAGTTGATGTCAAAGCTGGTCTCACAAGTTTGGAACTTGTGAGACCAGCTTTAGGCACAGGATGAAGTTGAAATGAGACACACCCAACATGTCTCAGTTTAGCCATGCACCATTTCATGCTTTCAAGCGTCATCTCAGCCGTTTGTGCATTGGAAGGTGTTAACAAGAGTCAGCAGGTGAAGGCAGGAGCCTAGGAACCAGGAGGTTGTGAGTTCTAGTCCCACTGTAGGCATATGAAAGCCAGCTGAATGACTTTGGGCCTGTCGCTCTCTCGCGGCCCAATCTACCTCACGGGATTCTTGTTGTTATGGAAAAAGGAGAAGGCAAGACTATCACCACCTTGAGTTGATAGGCATGTATGTATGTATGTATGTATATATGTATGTATGTATGTATGTATGTATGTTTACTATATTGTCATTGCGCCTCGTACAACGAAATTAAATACCATCTTCAGTGTACATTATGACTTATGAAAATAAACACAGACACACATCCTTCACTTTCTATATATTGAAAACTCCGGATATTGCATTAATATTGCACTATACAGTAGAATTCAACAGAGCTACTGCCCTGGGATAGAAGCTGTTTTTCAGCCTATTTGTCCTTGCTTTTATTGTCCTGTATGGTCTGCAAGATGGTAATAGTTGAAAAAAAGGGTGCCCAGGATGAGATGGATCTTTAAGGATGTTTTGAACCTTTTAGGGGCAGTGGGAGCTATAAAACTCTTCCAAAGAGTGGAGAGGGCAAAAGACAGATAGATAGATAGATAGATAGATAAATAGACAGATAGATAGATAGATAGATAGATAGATAGATAGATAGATAGATAGATATAAATCTCTCTCTATACACACACACAATCTATCTATCTATCTATCTATCTATCTATCTATCTATCTATCTATCAATGTTATATATGAATGGAATAGAATAATAGAGTTGGAAGGGGCCTTGGAGGTCTTCTAGTCCAACCCCCTACTTAAGCAGGAAATCCTAAATGATTTCAGGCGAATGGTTGTCCAATCTCTTCTTAAAAACTTCCAGTGTTGGAGCATTCACAACTTCCGGAGGCAAATGGTTCCATTGGTTAATTGTTCTAACTGTCAGGAAATTTCTCTAGGTTGCTTCTCTCCTTGATTGGTTTCAAGTTTAAATAAAGGTGGGATATCTATCTAATAATAATATTAAGAGAAAGACTGGGGCTGAGTGACTGAGAGGAAAGAGAACGGCAAACATGACATTTGAATTGGGAACTTTGTGTTTCAGCGTTACGCTTTCTCAGCTGAAATGCCAAGAATCGTGGGGATTGAGAGCCAGAAATATTTCAGCACGGAAATGTCAGTTATATGTCAACAATCAAGTGTTATCCGGCTTTGCAGGGGGGGAAAAATGTTAGTGTTTCTTAACCTCAGCCATTTTAAGATGTATGGACTTCAAGTCCCAGAATCCCCTAGCCACCATGGCTGGCTAAGGAATTCTGGGAATTGAAGTCCATACATCTTAAAATGGCTGAGGTTGAGACTGTGTTTACATTATGGGAAGGATGATAGAATTAAATTGCAGAAGGAAATGCAACTTCATGCTGGCAAAGGAAAGGATATGATTTACTGCCCCCCCCTTTTTTTTTTACTATGCATAAAGATCTTTATTTAGCTTTTTCATGGATTGGGAAGTACGTATGTATCTTGAGTTCAACAGAGCTGCAGAGTTGAAAGTCAAGGAAATGCTTTCTTGTTAATTATTTATTAACTGCTTTTACCGTGCACATAAGAAGAAATTCTCACTCTTAAAGGAAAAATATACTTGAAGAAAACGAAACCTTATAATCCTAAAAAGGAAAGTAGAAAACACTTCTGTAATATTCTCAGTGAGTCTAAGATGACTCTTTCGTTTTCAAGATAAATCACGTGGAAGAAAACAAAAAGAAAGCTAATTTTTTGTGAAATCGCCACCTATGATACCTTAGCTTGCTCTTATCTTTTTTGAGGTCCACTGAACTATAAACTAATCGTACAAGCCTGGATTTATGTTGCACAAATCTAGCAAACATGGTTTGCTAGATTGCAATTCAAGGGCTGGGTTCGCATACCACATTGCACAATTAATGCATGTCAAGACTAGCGGTAATGTTTTCACAACATTTATTTCACTATTTATTCAATTTGTATAAATATATACCACGCAGTCATGCTTAGTTTATCTAGCTCCGGTATGATATGCAATGCAAAAAGCTTTGGCTAATTCGCGGATCAACGCAGTGCATGAACCAGGAAACTGAAAAATTCAATTATCAGCTTAAGCGTCTGTAGAGAGTCTCAGTCATCCAGGTTGATCCAAAGGTGCTTTTTCAGGAGGCAACTGGATTTCCTGGTTTTTCTTTGAAGACGTTTCTGTTCTCATCCAAGAAGCTTCTTCAGCTCTGACAGGATGGTGGAGAATGGAAGGGTTTATACTCCTTGCAGGCAGCTGGTCATTTGCATCCTTTAGAGCAAGGGTCTTCAAACCTGGCATGTTTAAGACTTGAGGACTTCAACTCCTAGAATTCCTGAGTTAACATTACTGGAGGAGGAATTCTGGGAATTGAAGTCCCCAAGTCTTAAAGCTGTCAAGTTTGGAGACCCCTCCTTTAGAAGGTCATTGAAGTCCAGCTGCGTCCTGAAAAAAGCACCTTTTGGGACAACCATGACCTGGATGACTGAGAATCTCTACAGACTTTAAGCTATTCAATTTGGGATAAACAGCCTTCGAATGGGGTGGGAGTAGGAATGGATTTCCAGAGGAAAAACTGCAGACTGCAGGAACCATTTGCACTACTCGGGTGACCCTGAGAACACAGATAAACCTACAAGTGGCCTCAGTGACCCTCTAAAAGGATGCAAATAACCAGCTGTCTCCAAGGAGTATAAATCCTTCCATTCCCCACCATCCAGTCAGAGCTGAAGAAGCTTCTTGGATAAGAAGTGAAACCTCTTCAAAGGAAAAAACAAGAAAATCCGGTTGTCTCCTGAAAAACCACCTTTGGGACAACTAGCTTAAGTGTGTTGTATGAACGGGAAAGCAGACTGAAAAACACGGGACTTCAGACCCTTTGAGGCAGAATGTCTTCCTAAGCATCGAAGTCAGAGCTGGATGGAAAACTGAAAAACAACCCAAAACAAAGTCACTGAGTCAAGGAACATATCAATTTAATAAGTAATACATAAAACCCAGAAGAAGGAAAACCACTTTCGTTTCCAAAGTCAACTCAACCTTCCTATCCTAAAAAGTTCTCGCAGAGTGGGTTGGTATTCTGTAAAATCTGGCAAAAGCACTGGACAAAGTCAAAAGATCAGAACCCTACAACATTGTGAATTCTTTGCCTGTTAGCAGAACTCAGGACAATCCCAATCCACATTTCCATGAACAAGAGGTGCCCTCTGTCACATATTAGTATCACTTTATAAAGCCTATTATAATATATTAGTAGCACTTTAAGGCCATACCTGGAAGAAAGCGTCCAATTATGGTCACCACATTATATTAAAAAAAAGGCGTTGAGACTTTGGAAAAAGTGCAGAGAAGAGCAACTGAGATGATTAAAGGCCTGGAGATTAAAATTTATGAAGAACGGTTGCAGGATTTGGGTTTCGCTGGTCTAGAGAAAAGACTAGGAGTGACATGATAACAGAATTCCAATATTTGAGCGGCTGCCACAACAAGGATGAGGTTAACTTCGTTACCAAAGCACCCAGAAGGCAAGATGAGAAACAATGGATGGAAACTAACCAAGGAGAGAAGCAACCTGGAATTAAGGAAGCATTTCCTAACAGTGAGGACAATTAACCAGTGGAACAGCTTGCCACTAGAAATCATGGACACTCCCATCACTGGGGTTTTTTAAGAAGAGACTGGACAGTCACTTATCTGAAAGTATAGATTCTCCTGCTTGAGCATGGGGCTGGACTAGAAGACCTCCAAGGTCCCTTCCAGCTCTATTCTGATAGACTGATGAAGGCAGTCTAGCTCAGCTCCTCCCTTGTTGGATATGTAGAGTTTACACCTTTAGAGAGAACTTGATAAGCTGGAGGACAGAGGCGGGAACAAACATTAAATATTGGGTCTATATATCTCCAAACAGCTTCTGTTATACAGTTGGAAGTTGAAGAAATTGAAGGAAGTCCGAATCATTGAAAAAACTGATTTAGGAGTAATCAATTTTCGATACAAACAAGTGAAGATTTAGTCAGGAAGTTGTGTGAGATTTGTTTGGTTTTGGTGTGGATCTGTTTTTAGAGTTGTGTGTGTGTGGGTAGATAGACAGACAGATAGACAGACAGATGAGGAATCAAGTTTATCTTTTCCTTTTACACTTTCTTCAAACTAAAGACATTAATTACTTTTACTTAAAACTCTCTCCTATACCCTGGAATCATTCTCTCTCGCTTCTGAAATCATGCAGAACCTCATAATTATACCATATTACTTTAATCCTGCAGTCTGCTTGGAGAATTACAATTTCTCTTGCCTATTTTTTAAACCAAGTAGCATTTATTCTCCTCTAGTACTGAATGTGACATTTAAAGTGAGAAATAATTTTTTATAGTATCTTTTCCTAATAGCCTGATTTCGCTTATCTCCTGTAAGATTGGCGGGCCGTGGAAGGACCAACCCAGGGTTATCTCAAACTTACAAACTCAAGATGAGTGCACTTCAATTCCCAGAATTTCCCATCTCCTAAACCTTCTGAACTTATTTGCTTTATAAAACATTTTTGACGATGCCAGCGTGATACTATTAGGAGATAGATGGTGACAGTAGGAACAACCCAATTACTATCCCAAAGCAAACAGGATGGGACATTTCAAGAGAAGGCTTGTAATCCCTGTGTCCTCTATTCTACAGGCACATCTGTCCCACTACACAACCCTTCAAAACATTGGCATAACATGTCCAAAAGGAGCTTCCTTCCCACACTTTGAAATAGTTTTGCTTCCCATCCGAAGTTTCTTCAGTTCTAACCAAGTTAATTAAATTAGGACTTAAGAACCTTCTCGGATGAGCAGCGAAACATTTTCAAAGGAAAACAAAACAAGAAAGTTTGGCTGACTTTTGGAAAAAGCACCTTTGGGGGACAAACTACGACCTGGACGATTGACAAGCCCCATAGACACCTGCGTAACATCATTGAGAGTCAACGCAATCCCCTCCATCCTTCACTTTTGACTCTCATGGATGGGTGCCCAATAGAGAAGCAGACGCAGTGATCAGCACTAAGCAGAAAGTAGGGCAGATTCAGTTTGGTGCAGTGGTGCCATCAGGACAGAAATCAGCTAAGATCCCAGAAATCTAATCTTGCCCTACCTGGGTGACCTGAGTGACCTTGTATCAGTTCACCTCCGAAGGCAGCCAGGGCAAAATATATTTATTTACCTACAAAGTACTTACTTTATTTACTTACTTATTTGTTTTAGAAAAATGTATATTGCTGGCTTTTCGCCCGTAGTGACCCAAGGCGGCTTCCACAAATATAAAAGCATCATAATAAAAATTAAAAAAGAAAATATTAAACAATAATAAAATAGCAGCCAGCCCCCCTCATCCAGGGGACAACACCTATTCATACAACCCATTTTAATGGGCTCCACTCCATCCCCTTCTGGCTTCCTCTCACCTTTCCAAAAACGCCCCCCAAAACCTGGCCAAGAAAACCAAGCATGGACCGGTTGTTCCACCCGTGGGGCTGGCTCCAAGGCGCGCGCACCCCCCACGTTATGCAGGGCAAGCACTTGGACCCCTAACCGGTTCCGGAGCCCCGTTTGCAGGGCCGAGGGGTGACACCCCCCGGTCCCCTAAAAGGGGTCGCCTTTTGGAGGGATGCAGGAAAGGCGTCATCTGCCTCTCCAACCTCCACCTATAAAGACCCGCGGTTGGGTTATGCGCCACGGCCATGCGCCAAGGTCGAGCAAGTCTTGGGAAGGTGCCCGGCTGGGAAGACGCGTGTCCTCGGGCCGGGGGAGGTTCCCAGCCCGGTCCGCTTGGGCTGGGGATGATGTGGGGGGGAAAGGGGAAGAATCCGGGCGTCCGGGTCAAGGACAGGCAACCCGGCCGAGACGCACCTCTCGGAAGCCTCTTGGAGCGTTGCCGCCGCCGCCGCCATCTCCACCGCCTCCCGTGGGAAGGTCCGCCCGGCCCCCGCGAAGCCCCGGCGCGACTTGTGCCGGCTCAGCGTCCCCCGCAGGGCATCCCCGCGAGGTGGGGAGAGAGAGAGAGAGAGAGAAGGAGAGAAGCGCCGCAGAAGGAGCGCGCAAAGCCCGGATGAACCCGGCGAGGCCGCTCGCCTTGCGCAATCCGCGCGCTCTCGCCGGCGCCACCCCAGCTTTCTCCGGCTTCCGGGCCCGCCTAGAGACGCGGCAAGTTGCCGCCGCCGCCGCCGTTGGGCCGGCTCGAGCCTTCTGCAAGCGGGCGCCCGCCGGAAAGGCGGCTGCTGGAGAGGGTGTGTGTGTGTGTATCTTGGTAGTCCAGAGGAGGGAAGGTGGGGGGCGCGCACAAGCCTAAGAGCCCAGCGCCCTGTCCAAAGGCGGGACTCCATCTCCTATCATCCTTTCCACTGCTGTGGGACGGAGGATGATGAGGTTTGGAGTTGGACTGCATCTTCCATCATCCACTCAGCTGCTGTGGGACGGAGGATGATGAGATTTGGAGTTGGATTGCAGCTTCCATCATCCTTTCCGCTGCTGTGGGATGGAGGATGATGAGGTTTGGAGTTGGATTGCATCTTCCATCATCCTTTCTGCTGCTGTGGCATGGGGATGATGAGGTTTGGAGTTGGACTACATCTTCCATCATCCTCTCCACTGCCGTGACAGGGAAGATGAGGTCTGGAGGTGGACTGCATCATCCATCATTCCAGTATTTAAAGGTTAGGGTTCAGAAGAAGAGAAAACTAAGATGACCAAAGGCCTGGAGACTAAAACATGAAGAACGGCTGCAGGATTTGGGTTTGGCTAGTCTAAAGAAAAGAAGAATTAGGGGCGACTTCAATATTTGAGGGGCTGCCACAAAGAAGAGGGGTCAAATTATTCTCCAAAGCGCTGGATGGCAGGACAAGAAACAATGGATGGAAACTAACCAAGGAGAGAACCAACCTGGAATAAAAACAAGGACAAATATGGCTGAAGAACAGCTTCTATCCCAGGGCAGTAACTCTATTGTATTCCACTCTATAGTGCAATATGAATGCAATATCAGGGGTTTTCAATTCAGTTGCATAGAATGTGAAGGATGTGTGTTTGTGTTTATTTTCATAGCCATTATGTACACTGAAGAGGGTGTTTAATTTCTTTGCACGATGTGCAATGACAATAAACTAAACTAAATTTAGGAGAAACTTCCTAACAGGGAGGACAATTAACCAAGGCACTTGAAGGCCAGACAAGGAATAATAGATGGAAACTGAACAAGGAGAGAGATTCAACCTGGAAATGAGGAATTTTCTGGCAGTGAGAACAATCAACCCATGGAACAGAAGTTTCCTTCAGAAGTGGGAGCTTCATCACTGGAAGCTTTCAAGAAAGGACTGGATTGCCATCTGCCAGAAATGGTGCTTGGGTGGAGGGGGTTGGGCTAGATGACCTCGAAGGTCCCTTCTCAGTCTATTATTCTGTTGAATGTCCTGTCTTTCCTCCAGCCTCTCGATCCCATTGCCTGGCGAGTCCAACCCATTTCTTCCCTCCGCTGGGCAAAGCCCAAAGCCAAAAATTAAAAAAAAAATACAGCGCTGCCCCTTTAAGAACGGACCATGACATCATTTCCCACCTAACCCCACACATCCCCGCCCTCTGCCTTTCGGCGTTCGCTCCACCGAACTTGAACACGGAAGGCCCGCCTCCCGCGGCGCGGAGAAGCCAATCGCTGACGGACTGCCCAGCGGAAACGCCTCCCGTTCGCGGGAGGACGGTGTCGCCGCTGCCGATTGGACGAGACGCTTGCCCATCTACCTTTGTCCCCCTCCTCCCCCTCCTTTCCCAGCAGCCGGGTTAGGGTGCGCGAGGTTGGGTGGTGGTTCCCGGGGCCCGGCGGCTGAGCTCCAGCGGGTGAGGCAGGCGGGCGGTCCGGAGTCATCGCTCGGCCAGGCCCAGCGGCCCCGGCCATGGAATCCTACGATATCATCGCCAACCAGCCCGTCGTCATTGACAACGTAAGCCTGCAAGGCCGGAGGAGGAGCAGCCGAGGCGGGCGGGCGGGCGGGGAAGAGAGAGCCGCGCCCGGCGAGGCTGCAGCAACGGCGGCGGATGAGCTCCCGGAGCTGGGTGGGGCCTTGGCCTTCGCCCCAGCCCCGCCTCGGATCTGTAGATACGATAGATTTCTGCCAGGCTTTTGCCTAGAAGGGCCCTCGGGTGGGGGGGGGACTAGGGGGGGCAACGTTAAGCCAGGATGCGGAACCCCTAAACCTGGTTTGGTTTGGGCCCAGCGGGTCGTGTGGACCCCCGGGATAAGGAGGGATGCGGGTCCGGCATAGGCGGGGGTGGGGGATGAAGAGGGAGGCCCGCCGCTCTGGACGCTGGGATTACTCAGCGGAATCGGGTAGCCTGTGCCTTGAATATAAAACTATTATTATTTTTATTATTGTTATTATTACTCATTATTACTCATTATTTCTTTTATTTATTCAACATGAAACTCAGTCAATTGAACATTTAAAAATGTATCACCGTTGACATTGACTGGTGCTGATAGTTGATATGGGTTGCTGGCAGCATCCAAGGGATCAACCAAGTATATTATTAGTATTAGTATTATAAGTGTTTATTTTTAGTATTATTAAATGTTAAGTAATAATAATGCACAATATTATTCTTATTATGCCAGCCAGATGTTCAGACTGGGGTTTGGCGTTTTGTCTACCTATCAAATCCTTACTAAGGACCTGGGATAGGCAAATCTGGATGTTTGACAACTATTATTATTATTATTATTAAATCTTTAGTGAGATTCACAGCCTTTGGGGCTGGTTGGTAGCTCAACAGTTCGAGTCCTAACCAAGAACCTAGGAACTGTTCAGGAAGCATCGGAGGATATAAGCTGTTCCAAGTTGGGTGGCTTTTTTGTAGAATCACGGTATTCAAATCTGATAAATTCAGGATTTCCAAATAGCGAGGCAGCCCTTTAGGTATTGCTCCAAGGGCTCCAATTACAATAAGACACAATTTCTTTTTCCAAAGTCACTTAACTTCAACTTGTAAGTCCCAATACTTGGTGATTTTTTTTTTTGCTGAATACAGTATTGTTATTATTATTATTATTATTTCATTAAACATTAATCTCAGTCAACTGAACATTTAAAAATGTATCACAAATATCATTGACTGGCACTGATGGTTGATACAGGTTGCTGCCAGCATTCTAGGTATCCACCATATTATTATTATTGTATATTATTATTATTATTTTTACTATTATTATTATTATTATTCACAGTCAGATGTTCAGTCTGGGACTGGCATTTTTGTCTACTTATTGAATCCTTACCAAGGACCTGGGATAGCCAAATCTGGATGTTTGGCAGTGTAGTTATTATTGTTGTTGTTTGACAATGTTGTTATTGTTAATCATCATCATCCTCATCCTCACACAGTGAACCAGTTGTTCAGACTGTTTGGCATTTTCCTCTACCTGTACAGTATAGAGAAAAAGGCATTAGTGTTGATCATGGTCCCTACTGATTATTTTGTTCCACCCATGCATTTTATTTTATTTTTTGACAGTGGTAGTTGCTCTTTGGGGCTCTACCTGATAGCACTGTTTCCTGCCCTTAATTTCCTTGGGTTAAGAATATATTCTTATTGTAATGCCTGCTAAAATATTTGCCACTGTGCATGTTAATACCTCTATTTTCTTGCAGATGCTTTTTTGCTCCTTCCCAGGTGAGCCCCTCCATAAGTGATTTACATATAGAATAGAATAGTATACTTTAGTGGGATAAGTGTGCTTAGACGCACAAGAAATTTGTCTCGTGTGTCTAAATGCACTTGACGAAATGAAATGTTCTACTCTACCTTATAAATAAATCTCTTACTGAGCTTTGATTATGATCGATGAACCATTCAAAATCCTAGTTTATTAGCATAATCCATAAATTGGTGGTACTATAGTGCTTCTGAATGAGGAAGGCACCAGTTTCAATCCCTGCTATTAGTTAATGAAGAATGAGCGGGTGGGGAAAAAAAGGACCAATCTTTGTAGAACAACCTGACAGCCAACATATAATCTATATATATATAAAAGCAAAAGACTACTCATGCATCATCACAGAATCTCCAGAACCGTAAAGCCTACAAACTTGAAATTTGGCACGTATATTCTTCTTGGCTTCTAGGTGCTCACTGGGAAAGGATTTTTCCAAATGTCCATCAGAGCATTCGTATTTCGTATATTATTATTATTAACACACTCTGATGCTAAGGAGTTCTATTCCCCCTCCCCACCTGAAAAGAAACCTCTTCCAAATGCAAAACGCAAGCAGAGGAGTTTCAGTTTCACTGCAGCAGCCAGCTTTAGTACAGAATAGTTGAGCTAAGCCACGCCAGGCTCCTTGCTGTCTCTTTCTTGGTCACACAGCAAATACTGTTTCAGTTTCCAAACAGCCTTCAACTCTCTCACACAGTGACAGGACGCTAGCCAGATGAATACCGATGGATGCTGGTAGGCAGAGGCAAAATCCCCCCCCCCCTTATATTCCTCCCCCAAAACTAAGCCCGACTACATAGTTTCGTAGCAAAGCCCGGGTATCCAGCTAGTAATGTATAACACCGTGAGGCATGGAAAATAAATACAGTAGTCCTTGGCTTACAACATTTAGTGACCGTTCAAAGTTACAACGGCCTGGGAAAAAAGTGAATTACGACCGTTTTTCCCCTTTCTCGTTTGATCAAAATTCAGGCGCTTGGCCACTTGGTTCATACTTATGACCCATTGTAGCGTCCCGGGGGGGTGGGTGTCCTGTGATTTATTTATTTTTTTTGCAACCTTCTGACCGACATATAAACTAACCGGGGGAAGCCAGATTCATTTAAAAACCTTGTTACTGCAGTGATTCACTTAACAACCGGGGCAAGAAAGGTGGTACCACGGGGCAAAACTCACTTAACACATATCCCACTTAACAGAAAAATTTTGGTTCAATTGTGGTGGTAAATCGAGGACTACCTGCAACTAACTGGATTCTCTAGTTGTTGTATGTGAGGTAAGTTAGCATATAGCTCCTCTACTGCAGATTGAGAACATTTAAGCTGCTGAAGCGGCTTGTCCGGAATAACTCCTATTTGAAAGGAGCGCTTCCATGTTTTCCCAATCCGTAGCTC